TTGTATTTGTTTTCATTTGTCTTCTCTCAATAAACGCAGGTTCGAGTCAAGTCATAGCTCAATACTACCAACTTATCCGATTGGGCCACGAGGTGAGTGGGTCCACGATTAGAATTTTAGTATATTATGCTAATTAATTAGACACTTCTTAAATAATTGAAATGGATGTCAAAAAAAAAAAAAAAATGTATCAAACAGGGTTATAGAAATGTGATGGAGAATTGCAGAGAGAATATGATCGTGCTAAGGGAAGGACTTGAGAAGACAGAAAGGTTCAACATCGTCTCAAAGGACGTTGGAGTGCCACTTGTCGCTTTCTCCTTGAAAGATAACAGCTCTCACACTGAGTTCGAAGTATCCGACATGCTTCGCAGGTTAGTTGTCTTAACCTGTATTGATTAATGATTACTCTATCTTAAAATTATTTATAATTAGGTTGCATTGTGTTTAATTAGGAGATTCATGCATGCATTTGATCAAACTAAAGACGTAAAAACTAAATGTACAATAAATAAATGGACCGCTACGATTGGACCCGGGAATCATATAACAATTGTACTGGTCAAAGCATCTTCTGACAGGATGATATAATTGCACTGTCTGGTTAGTCTTTCTTTAATGACTAGGCGTTAGTGTCAATGATATAATATTTTTTGAACAGATTTCATAAAATGAGTAATGATATATATGTTTGATGAATCTTTAACTAACTCCTCTATACATATTCAATATGTAGGTATGGATGGATAGTGCCGGCATATACAATGCCTCCAAACGCACAACACATAACTGTTCTTCGAGTGGTCATCAGAGAAGATTTCTCAAGAACACTCGCTGAGAGACTTGTGATCGATATTGTGAAGGTGATGCATGAGCTCGATGAGCTTCCTTCGCGAATGATCCACAAAATCTCACTAGGAGAGGAGAAAAGTGAAGCTAACGGCGATAACTTGATGGTGACGGTGAAGAAAAGCGACATGGAGAAGCAGAGAGAGATCATCAATGGCTGGAAGAAGTTTGTCTCCGACAGGAAGAAAACGAGCGGTATCTGTTAATTCAATATTAATGAAAATGTTTGGAATACTTTATTAATAATGCATGTGCATTGATTTGGAGACTTGAAGTTTGATTTCCTTTATTGTTGAACTAAGTTTACTCGACTTTAATTTGAATTATCGTTTGATATTATTGAATCATTATGAAATAAGTTTATGTGTTTTTGTTTCTTGTTCATCGTCATGATATATAGAGTTCATATTTCCATTATTATTGTTGTAGGGACAATATAGAAACCAAAATCAAATGTGAACTTTTATTAATATTTCATAATGTGGGACAGTAAGTCACAAAAGTTGCAGAATGTAGTAATAAGATCTTTTGATTGATGAAAATGAATCTATTGTAAGATGTTAATACTTCAAATAAACTCTAAGCCGGAGAGGGAGCACCCGGAGTAGAACCATTTTGGCTAGAGCAATGTTCCCTAACATAGTAGCTGACGAAAGGGTTACGGAAGGATCCAAAAACCGTATCCTTACAATTTTTATTCAACTTCACGATCGCAGCGCAGCATTCAGAACCAAAGTTGGTTTTCGCGTAAAGGCCTTAATGAAACATCTTGTTACCTTCTTGTAGTTAGAAAAGCATTTGTTTAACTGTCGATTTGGACTGTGTTTGAGGATAGCCGAGAACGGCGTGTGAGTGTGATATGACAATTGGAGCTCTTCATTATCTGTTGGGCCAAGCAATTGAGATGTGACACAGCTTGAAAATAGAATTATAGTAACAAAAAGTGTGAGGTTCTTCATTTTCTTTGGATTCTTTGTAGATTTGAATATGTGAGATTGAGAAGAAACAATGAATATGCTTGTTTATCAAAAAAAAAAACGATGAATATGCTTTCAATTTTGTATGGTTTGATTTTAAGGTGGTGATTAAACTACGTTTGGTTTAAATAGGGGTTTACAGTGAATACTTTATGTTTGCTGTTATTTATCTATTCGTTATCAAAATGATCAAGTTGAATATAGTAGTTAATTTCTGTCAAACAATATTTTATAGCTAATACCTTCTTTGGTATGTATCGGTACGTACGTGGTTATGATGTTGTGTGCAAAACATAAAGTCAATGTAAAGTGTTCGTCGTAATCATTATTCATGATTTATTGCATAATATTGTAGTGAGTGATTGTTGACCAAAAAAGTGTGTTTATCTTAAAATTATCAATTACCTTAAGTCCTACGTTTTCTCGACTTGTCAAATTAAACGTGGTCATTGCTCAATCAACTTCCCTTTTCGGTATATTAAAAAAAAACTTCCATTTTCGGTACTAATTAAGGCTGGTTACTTGTTGACCAACAAAAACTTACCATTAATTTTCTCCACTTTAGTTAGAAGATTATTATGTGTTAACTTTGAATCTTAGACCTTACTGCAATTTGATTTTTGACTGCCAACTAAAGAAAGATAACTAAACAATGAGTAATATTTTTTAAAAGTATTATTTTGGATCCATGCATATCTAAGAAGCTTCAAAATATAAACTTAACCTAAAATTTGTTTCAAGCAATAAAAACAAATTACGTTAATAAGACTCAAATTTCTATTTGTTTCCATGGAGATCATGCTAGATATGAAGTTTTTGATTTTAATTTTAATTAGTCATATGACTAATGAATGTCCTCTATCAAATCAGACGAAAAATCCATTGTCTAATTTCTTTTTTTTTTTTATTTGGGCAATCGACTGGTTATAATTTTGATTTTGATTTTGATTTTGATTTTGATTTTGATTTTAATCGGCTCTGGTTGTAAATGAATTATCCCGTTCTATTGATTCTGAATTGTACCGTCATAAGATTGTATATAGAAACGTTTTTTTTTAAAACAAATGTTTGGATAAAATTCATAATTATTAGATCCGAGACAATTTAAAAACGAAAAGCAAATGTGAACTTTTATTATAATTTCTTAAGGTGTACAATATTCTAGAAAAGTTTTAAAATGTAGTAATGAACTCCTCTTTTTATTGATAAAAACTACGTTAAAGATATCAATGCATCAAAATTAAACCCTAAGCCGGAGAGGGAGCCACCGGAGTGGAACCACCTTGGGTAGAGCAATGCTGCTTAACATAGTAGTTGAAGAAAGGATTGCGAAATGATCCAAAAACCGTCTTCTCACAATCTTTATATAACGTTTTAATCGCGGCACAGCAATCAGAAGATTCAGAACCAATGGTGGGTTTGCTTTTGAACGCCTTAGTGAGACATTTCGTTACTTTCTTGTGATCAGAAAAGCATTGGCCAATTCCGGTGATGGACGGAAGTGATGGCCGTTGATGGTTGAGAGAGGCGAGTCCCACCACTGGAGGTCTTCATCATCTGTTGCCTCAAGCAATTGAGATGTGGCACAACCTAAAAAGAGAATCATAACAAAAACAAATGTGAGATTCTTCATTTTCTTTGTAGATTTAAATTTGTAAAAATAAGAAGATACAATGGGTGTATGTTTTTAATTTGGATGGTTTACCGGTGAAACTACGTTGCCGTATATATATAGGGTTTACTTCGTGTTTGTAATGATTTATTTATTTATTTAATTTGGTAACCCTTTTTGTATACCAATTTTCGAATTTTAATGATTTTGAATAATGTAGAGGAAATGTGGAATTTTTTGATACGCAATGTTTATTTGCGAATTTTTTTGTGTCTTCGTTGTTGAGATTATCTTTTTTTTGGTCAACAACATCCAATTTTACCTTATGTCCTTATAAAACAAATTCAAACAATATTTTATGACTTGTCCTTCTTTGTATGCATGTCTTCGTGCGTGCGTACATGCATTGTTCGGAAAGAAAAAAGAGCCATGAAGTGTTTGGTCATCATTATTCATTATTTCGAAAAGAATAATGTAATTATTGATTGTTGACCCAAAGAATGGTTGGTTGAATTAATGTAATTTAGACGTGATCTTTTCTTTGTTAAAAACGTAGTTGTTTACTTACCTTATTCAACCGCATCTGTTTATTTTTTTTACTAATAAATAATTTTTAGTATTATTTTGTTGTAGTATAAGAAAACAATTAAAGATATATATTTGGTAATAAGCATTTTGCCTCTAAGAATTCAGCTAAGGCGCAAACTATGAGTTTCATGTGTACTGCTTTTTGCATCAACAACAAAACGGAATCTGATGAGTGATTAATTAGCACATTTGCAAAAGAAAAGAAAAGTACATAAATTTATTATTTATATGAACTGGTTCTGAATCTCCCTTTTTTTTTCTTAAGTCGAATATTCTAACTCTATTATCAACTTCATATTATTATTAAATAAACTTTTATTTATTTTGTAGGGATTTCAATAGATACACAAGAAGACAGAAATGAGTTTGGGCCTTTCTCCTTAGGCTTTTCTCTAACACATCGAAGGAAAATATCACAATTACATTAAATTTTCTTATGTTTATTTATTTCGATAATCTTCATTTTTTTTTCTTATGTTTATTAATGTTATCAAATATATGAGGGCCTTCTATTCGTCCATAGTGTCCATACAGTTAAATTAAGGAACTTATATCGAGTCTAGAGGTAATAAGCATTAAAGTTTGTTTTGTATGCGGTTAGAAATGTAAACTCAGATGTGTAACATATAAATCGCAATATCTCTCGTCTGTTAAAAAAAGCTACATACAGTATAACCATCCCGAAAACATAGGTACTCTTTATTCTGAATAAGAGTTAAAAAGGTTTAATTTTCTTCAAATGTAGATTGTTCTTCATATTGTAAGTTGGTAATTAAAACCGAATATATCAAAAAAGAGCGTAAACAATGGCAGATATATGGAGAAAATCTAATAACTAAAAGCATTGATACATTATTTTTAAGAAGAAAAAAACGTTAAATCCTAGAAGAGTAACATGGTGAAAAGTAATAAAAAGCAAAAAAAAAAAAAACGAAGAAATCATGGCTGATAATTCTGATAAATAATGAAAAACCCTAAGCTGGCGAGGGGGCAGACGGAGTAGATCCAGCTTTGGTGGAGCAATGTAGCTTAACAAAGCAGTTGAAGAAAGGGTTATGGAACGATCCAAAGATGGTCTTCTCACAATCTCCATTCATCTTCTGTATCGAAGCGCAACATTCCGATCCAATAACGGGTTTGCGTGTGTGGAAAGCTTTAACGATATCCGCAAAACATGTGTGTACCTCCTTGCAATCAGACAAGCATTTGGTGACCTCCGGTGGTGGATGGAACGGGATTGGGTGGAAGTGGTGGTTGTTGCCGGCGGGGAGTGGCGGTAAGGCTTTTCCGGCGCCGGGGAGCGGCCAGTACGGCTTAGGGTGCGGCCAATATGGCTTAGGGTGGAAGTAAGGGTAATAATGGTAGTGCCACCATTCAAGTTTTTCGCTACGCATCGACTCCAAATCTCTTGCTGTGACTTGAGATGTGACACAGCATGACACGAGTACCATAGCAACAATAATTGCGAGATTCTTCATTTTGTTTTTGGATTTTTTTGGGAGCTTTTGGAGGAGGTATGTGAAATGAGAAGAGTGTTTTGATGGTTTTTGAGATGAAAATGACGCATGGGTTTGTTTATATAGGGTTTTTAATTAGGGTTTTTACATATAAATTTTGGGGTTGATGATAATCTTTAATTATGTATCTAAGTATCTTACTGGAATATTCTATGATATACTCGATTTTTTTTTTTACTGACGGCGTAATATACTTTGATGATTGTTGTGGATTTGTGATGTTTGTTTTGCTACATTTATTTATTTCACAGGCCTGAACGGATCACTATTTTTCAGGCTAGGGTAAGGATTACTTCTTAATTAGTAAATAAAATAAAATATGTTCAGTGACAAATTTAAACAATAAAATATGTTCAAATTTTCAAATTTTATAATTAGTAAATAAAATAAAATTTGACCAATTCTAAAATATTACTCTATTCACTAGAGACCAAAATCATGAAATTTTGCGAAGATCTAGTGGCACGCAAAACTCGGTGGAGAAAATCACGAGTGGCAACACAATTTGACAGATTCAAGGAAACTGTTGGATGAGAATCATTACAGTCGAGTTCGAGTACATATATCTCGCTTATTATATGCTTTTGGTCTTGTACAAAATAATAATAAACGGAAACGTCTTAATCTCATAAAAGTATCGACAGCATGAATTGCTTTCAAAAGATCGTCCACCACTTTTCAAGAGATCCCCGCACTGAATCTCCCAGCTTAAGAAATTTGTTATGCAGCAGTAATAGAATACTATCACTTGAATTACTTATATTCTTGGATTTCGGTCCAAATATTTCATACGTGGTGGGTTCACGGAAAACTCTTGTTAAATCATCTAATGAAATCAGCTTATGAAAGAAGCAAACTGATTAACTGAACCAAATCAGAGAGTAGAACCAGATCAGAAAATATACTCTGTACGTTTTTTTTTGTTTGTTATAAAAGAAAATAAGATGCCAGAATTATTATTGACCATGGTGTATGCTCAACATTCTCGTGACCACGATATCCTAATGGAAAGTCGTAGTAGCGACGTTCATAATTTGGTAAATATATTGAGATTTTATTAACATGTTTTGAAAAATGTTACATTTGATTCGGGAGAAACTAGAAAGACGAGTCTAATTCAGAAAGAGTGTATTTGAAGTTGTTTGTATAGGAGAGTTGTTGCTGTCAGTAGAATGAAACATTTGATTGTAAGCAATTAATACTTTTAAAACAGATAATGAAGTTAAACCATACAAGTTGTTGTGTCAAATTTTAATGAACTTTTAAGAAAATATTAATTCTACAAAGATCATTTGATAGAAAATAAAATGGTATTCAGGGATATATATAATTTTGATAAAAACTTGTGAGACATAAAAAGTTAGTAAATGGAAGAAATGAGTTCCATGGAAAGGGGGAATAGTCGCATCTGCAAGTCAAAGGATCCTCCAAATCGGACGAAAGGTTCCGTAGAGCAATCACCAAAATCGAAAGTACGAAGGAAACGAGGGTATGGGTCCCACACGCAACTTATATAACTGTACTTTGATAGTGGAAACCTTATTTTAAACTATCTTTATCATTGATTTCGTATTAGTGATTTATAGTAATCTTAACATTTCAAACTTCTGAGATAACAACAACTGGAAAGTCTTGCAAGTAATAATACTAATACTAATTATGTTGCGTCCTTCCACACTTTCAGCTTCCGGTTATCCACTCATATTACGTGGTATATATGATGTGGAATCTTCCTTAAATTTAGTTTAGTCGGTTTGATTCAAATTGATTTTTAGTTGAAGTTTAAAACAGGATATTTAATATAGTTTGTTTGTGGTAGTGTTATTATCTCAGTCGGGTACAAATCCACATAGTCTTTATTGTTGACAAGAAAAAAATTATTGTTAATTTTAAATAATTAAGCTCTAAATTCAATTTTTATGGTGTGATTCAGGTTATAGTTTCTTCTTTGTACATATAAAGAAAAGAAAAACTAATCTTCATTGAACAAAAGCTGACGACAAAACTAAAATGTAACGACAAACAAAAAAATAGAACTAAACTAAAGCTAAAATTTATCTTTTGCAAGTTCAGTTAAAAAGCTTTTAGTCACTATGCTGTTTATATGACCACTACATGCTCCACTTTCTATTTAAGCTTCAATTGAAAAAAAAAAAAAATACTATCTTAATCTATTGAAAAAATAAAAACAAACAATCAGAAAACTTTTAAATAAGCTTAGTCTTCTAGTTTCTGTTAAAGTTAAAACATAGAAAAAGTAACCTTAAGTTTGATTTTCTTACTTCTAACTTTTGTTTGACAAAATGAAATAAAAAAAACTTCAAACTTTCCGTCAACGAGTTATATAAGCTATAGTTTTTCGGCCATTTACAACTTATAACTTTTATGTAGATCAGTAAAGTGATAAGAACAAAAAAAAAAAGTGATGGCCATAGACTTGTGAAAACACGGCTATACTATTTTGAATATTATTATTATATGATGGAAAGACGCGCATTCAACCATATAATGTCAACCTGTATATGCACAACTGTCTATCTCCACCTTACAAAACAAACATTATAAAATATTATTTTCTTATAACCATTTTTTCCCCGAACATTCTCTTGTATAAATACACACTCTTGTCTTCTTTGGATCCCCTCTTTAAAACACTTCCTTTCGATTCTTTCGATCACAACAAAAAAAAAAACTTCGATCTTTCTTCACATAATGGGAAACTACGTTTCTTCCACACTAAGCAAAACGTCGTCGTCTTCTTCTTCATCATCGGCGGCGAGAGTGATTCTCCCGGACGGTGAAGTGCGTCACATTCACGCGCCGACTAAAGCCGCAGAGCTAATGATGGAGATTCCGAGCTTCTTCCTCGTTGACGCCAAGTCGTTGAAACTCGGCCGGAAATTTAGCCCTTTAGCCGCCGATGATGATCTTCAAATCAGAGGCTGCCACGTCTACGTCGCTTTCCCTATGACGCGTGCCACCTCAGCAGCTAACGCTTCGGATATGGCTCGGTTATTCGTAGCCGCCAAGAAACAACAGCGCCGCCGTGTCGGAAATCATTCCTCCGGCGCCGGAACAGCTGTGAAACATTGTCATAACGGGAAGGTTTCGCCGGACGGGGAAGAAGATGACGTCAGAATGATGATATCGGCGGGATCGAAGCTGAATTAGAAGAGATTGAAGAGTTTTCGGCGGCGGAGTTTATGCATAGAATCTCGATTTCGAAATCTAAGAAGCCAAAGTTAGAAACCATAGCTGAAGAATCTTTGTCTTAACGCATACAAAATCAAACAAACATGGAATTTTTTTTGTTTTTTTTTCTCTTTTTCAAACGTCGCTATTTTTTTTTCTTTTATCCTCGCTGCGCAAGTGGTTTCTCTTTTGTGGTATTAATGAACAGAAAGAGACATTAGTCGAGAATGAACATATTATCTTTTCATTTTTTTTTTGTCCATTTTTTTATGATGAAAACTCAAATTATATAAATGATGGATTGATGATTTATGCTTTCTAAGTTTATAACAGACAAATTTCACAATTATTTTTTATTTTGTATATATCCTTTGGTCAAAATCACGCGACTATAGTTAGACAAATTACAGTATTTACTAGACAAATGATTTAGTTTGCACCATGTTTCAATTTTATTAAATCTTACCACTTACACCAAAGAATGTTTTTCTAATTTTTCCCTCATGATTTCGTTTACAAATAATTGTGAATTTGTGATATCATCATTAGATAAACGTTACTGGTATTAGAAGTTAAAAGAAAATGACGACCAAACAAGTTCAAGGAAGATGATGAATTATGTTTTTATAACTAAAAGTATAAACTATTTCTGTTGATAAAAAAGCATACGTCATACAATATACGAATCCGTGAGTTAATATAATTATATTAGTCATTTTCACGTAGAGATGTGTAATCAATAATCAGTCGTGTTGGTCATGTCGGTTAATATATATTTTGGGTTGTAATACTAATTAAATGCGTTATCAGTTAATATAGTTGTCGCGCTGTGAAAAGTATACGTTTTAAAACAACTGTGAATTTTTGTTAGATGCAGGTCTACTTCGTTGGAGGTTTTTTACTAATTACTGTGGCTTGTTTCGGAGAAGATGTAGATATATAAGTATATAACGTTTTCTAAAGTTTGAGAACTCGTTTATAGGTTCATGGTCGCTCACGACAATTTCGATTACAAGTTATGCTTGTCTGTTGCGTCTTACAGTTTGAATAGATTCCCTCGGCGTTTCTCTTATGTCCCGTTAAAGCTAACTTTTGCTATATAGATTGTTCTTTTGGTTCGAGTTTTTAGTTGTAGTTCTTGCAATTTTTTAGTATTTGGTCTTAATTTCTCTCTTCTTTGTGACAAAATCGAATATTGTACAGTATACAAAAAATAGTATATATATATACCATCACTGAAATGTTATACTGTATATAAAAAACGTCTACAGTCGTTTATGTAAATTTTAACTGACCCAAAAGAGAACTCCGGAAAATTAGCTAATTCAGCTAGTAATCGAATATTATATAGAATTTAATTGAATTATTTTCGTTTACCGACAAAGTAATACAAACCCGAATATTACTAACGTGCGCACTGGTCTCCTCGAGACGACGCCGTCGCCGATCGTCACCGTTCTTCTATGTACTGGGGGGTTAATAATCGGCGGGTCAATGCCTTATATGTTCTGATTATACCACCTACAGGAAGATTCTCGCCGGAGTTTCAATTTTACAATTTTCCTCATTGCAAGGTTCGATTTTTCCTTCTTTTATGAGCCGGTGTTGTATTGGAAGGACATTAGTGACGATTTTAGGGTTTTTAAGAAGAGCGTGTTCAATCTTTGATGATTAAAAAATATATGTCGAAGAGAGAGGTGGGTCATTGTCAGAATTGAGAGGAAGAAAACGATTGATTTGCAAAAGGAATCTGGACGAATTAAGTTATTAGGACAGTTTGTAAAGTGGAGAGATTTTCAAGAAAAGTGAAGCCAGTTGAAACATTGTCTTGTTTTTGAAATGTTTCAGATCATGAAGAAGTAGGCAAAGGTTTAAAGGAATCTGAGAACTTTAATAATGGGTGATGAGAATGTTGCTCACAAGCCTCTGGATGAGAAGGTTTACTTACAAGGGTCTGTTTTATTGGATTGTGGTAAGGAGGAGATTGTGGAAGAGCTTAGGAACTGTTTACCCAAGTGGGTTACGCAAGAACAGGTAACAGATATGATTAGAGGGACATGGAGGAATATAGTCGAAATAGTTGATAATTTCTATGAACACGAGACTAAATTCTACGAGCAAGTCTCTGCTGTTTTAGCTTTTACTTCTAGAGATGGGTTTAGTTCGGGTAACCACGAAGCACTTGTTTCTAAACTGGAGTTTCTACACTGCGAAACCGAGCGAAATGAAACTTGTCATTCATCGCAGTTTCACAAGCTCAAGAGCATGAGTAGTTCCCAGAAGAGCAGCATTTCTCCCGTGAAAAGGAACAGAAAGATCAAAGGTAAACCGAAGAAGAAAGGAAAAGCTTGTTCTAAGTTGGAATCTGCTGGCCCAAAGCAAGCTTCAATAATTAAATTCTTCAACAAAGTTCCTTCAGATGATTCCAATGCTTAAGAGGCTCAAAAGGTTTGTCAGAATTTTTGGAAGTAATATGGTGAGCTCTTTCTGCAAAACCTCATAGACTGATGAACCATTGCTGTGATGTCAACGGATAATACCTCATTGTTACTGCACCAAGATTCTTGGAAGATTAGGATTCGCATACAATTGATTGATCTTCACAGCAACTATGTATACATTGGCCTCATTGAGGAAACTAAAATCATAGAATGGGGGGAAAGATTGTCATTCAGTTGCAGAGTTTTCAGTTTTTGAGTCAGTTCAAAGAACATTTGCTGACCTTATTCTAGTATTGAGCGTCTGTTACTTAATTAAATCCAATATTTGATTGAAGATTTTTTTTTTCTTCTTTTTAAAACTCATTAACATTGAAGATGGAAGAAAGAGCAATAAGTGAACCGAAGAAGCATTTTGTCTTCATTACAATTTTGAAGCAACTGATCCTATTACTGTTACAAGGCTACAAAAAAAAAAAAAAGAACTCTCGTTCCTCAAGAATCTCAAGATCATGGTTACTGCTGCAATCTATTTAATATGAATCTCTAGCAACATCTTACATTGTCTTAAACCTTCTTGTTAAATAGCGAACATCTTAAAATATGTTGAATATTGCTTCGCGCGATCCAAGCCATGCCCCGTGAACAATGCTATCTTTCAAGTCTCTTTGCCCTGAAAATCAAACAATACAAGTTCTTGATTATATACTAACGATAAAAGGAAACAAGAAGTCCAGAAGCAGGAGAAGGATCAGTGTGTAAGTACCTTCAACAGCAGACCAACACACAACTGAAGGGACAGTGTTAGAGAATTTATTCTCAGACAGAAGTTGACCAGATTTGATACTCCAAATGCGAGTATAGCAGTCATCTCCTCCTGAATCAAACACGCAAAGACATAAAAAAAAAAACTCAAATCATCTCTTTGAAATCAAACTCTTGATGCTTTTCCAAGATCCAATATAGCGGTTATGTTATCTGAACAAAAGGGTTCCTCTTTATTACCTGACATAAGAAATCTTTCTGACGGGTCTATGCCAAATTCGATGCGAGTATGAGAATTTACATGTCCTACATATGTCTGTACAGCGACCCCTCTCTTAACCATGCGTTGATCATATAGCTTGATCTAAAAAAAGAGAAAAGTTTGGCGCTTTGGATAACGATCGAAATGCTCTTGAAAGTATCTTAGTCAGTATATGAGGAACCTAGATCTAGTAGCGTTACTCACCGTTCCATCCATGGAGCTTGCCATTAAGTACTGATCATAAGTTTTCAGTGTCTTCAGGCTAGAGAAGGAAGAAGCGAATTTTAGAGTCACGAAAACAAATAAACAGAATTTCCATATATGGTTTCAGTCGTTTACCAACCATGTAAGAGATTTAGGCATATAGATTACACGAGACGGATTTATGTTTCCTTTGAGCTGAAAAAGTAACAATTAGAGAAAAGTATCACCAGAATGTTGTGAGGAAAGATCATGCGAAAGAGATGAAAAGTTGTGACCACAGTACCTCAAACCACTCTTTCTTTGTAGTAGTTTGACTGATTTTACTCTCTGATGGATTCCGTATCTGGTGTCTAGTAAGCCTTGGAGGAGGTCTACCTGGTCTCTCACGTATATCAACCGATGCAATGGCTCCATTTCTGAGCCCACAATGAACGATGTTTCCCTGGGAAAAAGAAGTAGAAACAACGAACACACGTGTCCTTCAGTAAACACGAAGACATGACGTGAATAGTCAGAAGAGAGGTTCAGACAGCAACTTGACTCGAGTTTTCTAGTCAATTAAAATAGAGCTACTGAACGAACATATAGCAAATTAGGAGTTGAGAAACAGTATTGAGCCACTAGAAAACGATGCATCTTGGTGCTTGGAATTAATAGAACTTTACCGATTGATGAAATTGTAGAGCAAAGACATCGCTTTTGCTTCGGAGAAAGTATGAACCTGCTCCTGTATCCAAATCAACCAAAGCGGCTCCAAGGTCGGTCCCTATAATATCACATTCCTTTAAACAATTTTCATATGATTCTTGAAATTACTGAACCAAGTACATTTACAGCAAAAGGCATTGGTAGATCATATTTGCATTGCCTTCTAGCGTTAGTTTGCTCCCTAGTGCAACTGTAATGAAGTAAAATTCTGTGTGACAAAAACAAAACACCAAAAGTAAGAAAGAGAAGGTACCAATAGCTGCATGAGTCCCACGTATATTGCAATCAGCTGTCCAAATGGTACACTCCGAGGAGACATTCCCTTGGAGGCTTCGCGTAGTGACTATGTATGGTTCCTCCGAAAGATTTAACAGAAAAATCGACCCACGGCCAGTTGAACCCAGTGTAGTTATCCTGTTTTCTAGTGTCAAGATTTTACAAATGAGAAATCAAGAGATCAAGAGAGAAAGCAAAAGATAAAAAAACATCCAAAGGATACAATGCCCGCTTTACGCAGTGAAAATCTTCAGATGCATCATATCTTCCAATCGACTGAATAGAAGATATACTAGATAACGCCTGCAAATAAGAGCGTGCAGGTCTCCATATAAGCCTAGGCGCTTCCCTTTCTTCTGTAACGTTATTTACGCGAGGAAGAACAGAAACTGGATCGCACTCGATTCCACCATTTAAAGCTTGACTTTCAGACTCATCAAAGCTTACTTGTCCAGCTTTGGAAACTCTCAGTATGCTGCAAGAACAAACTTCCAAAGCATATAGGTTGGAAAGTAATTTAAAACAATTTTTATCAATAAATCAAAATACATAAAACTTCCATGAAGATGTCTTGAAACAACGATAAAACCAATATTTCTAAGAAACTGACTCATACATACCTCAAGCAGCCTCCAGTACTGCCTGCTACTAGGATGTTTTTCCTGGTCAGGCCTTCAGATGTTTGTATATAAACCTGGAACTGTTTCAAAGCAGCATCGCCTATGTTTTCCGTGGATCCGTATCTCCAAACCTAAGCATCATTACCATTAACACAAACAGAGAAAAAACAAATGTCTTATGTAATCTTAATGTAGTAATACCTCAGGATTAGAGGCTTGTGCCTTTTCGATCTCCTCCTTGAAGCTAGATGTCTTCTTATTGACAGGAATAGCACTGCCATTTAGCTCTCGGGAAAAAAGTAGCTTCAATGCTTTTAGTTTGTTTCTCTTCTGATAATTAGCTTCCTGATGAAATTTTCATATAAACCAATTACATAAACAAGCCAAAATAGGACCTAAAGAAGTTGGTCTGCAAAGACTCGACCTTTACACAAAATTCGAAAGAAGTCGAAATTTGAAGTAAAGCTGTAAAACCGACCTCTATAGGCTCCGGCTCGGGATTTTGTTTCGTTCTTGAAGAAGAACAAGGTTTTGAACCAGGGATAGGACCTTTAATGGCGAAATATTTCTTCTTCTCCTCGTCGAAATAAAATCCAGGAAGTTCTGAAATCAAATTGAACAACAATTAAAACCCAGATTCCCACGTCAATCTCAAGTACGCAATCGAAAATCGAAAAATTATCGCGGGAGAGGATTCAAGACCTGGTCTCATATTGTCCTCTAGGCAACTCTGTTTTCTGTGTTCTTCAGAGACTCCATTAAAGGCTAACTAACATGCGCAATATAAGTAGCTTTAGGTTTTGTTCAACGAAGGAAGCTTTAGGAAATTGAACCGGAAACGTGATTTTTATTCAATTAAATACGAGCCGGACCGGTTATAATCTGGTTTACAATGTGTAAAAGCTAAATACAAACTTCAACAACTTATTAAACTTTCCACATTTTAGTTCTTGTGCTGCAATCTTCCACTCTCAGCACCAGCAAAAGGATCGACGATAACATTAACTACCGCAGGGTTTCTTGCAGCGAACGACTCAGCGAGAGCGGATTTAAGGTCATCAGGTGTTTCCACAATATAACCTTTGCCTCCAAATGCTTCAATAAGCTTGTGATAGCCTGCATTAGGAACAAATGATGTTGGTGCTGGATCTTCTTTATGAGGACCGGATATTTCTTCAGGACTCCTTCGATCACCGCCATAGACACCACCATTGTTGAAGACAATGACCACCACAGGAAGATTGTATCGAACCAATGTCTGCATCATCAAAGACAAAAAGTGACGAAAGATTCAGACAAGACGAGACAGATCCACATTATGGTAATTATGTAATGTTTTACTACCTCAACTTCCATGGCGCTGAATCCAAAACCAGAGTCTCCTTCAACAGCGACAACAAGCCTATCAGGACAAGCAACAGCAGCAGCGATACAGTATCCTAAACCAACACCCATTGTTCCCCAAGTTCCAGCATCAAGCCTTGTCCTTGGCTCTTTCTGAACCAGAACCGATCTTCCTACATCCATTGTGTTAGCTCCTTCTGATACTACAACAGGACTCGGTCCTTGTACCGCCAAAATCGCGTCTCTGATTATCCTCATAGGAGTCAAGAAATTGAAAGGAACAACATCTTTGGCAAGCTGTGACTCCATTTTCTCACCGTTTTCTTTCGCTTTCTTCGAAATCGATTCCACCCATGGATTAGACTTCCCTAGGCAAAAAGGATCGTCTTTTATCTCTCTGTTTAACAATCCGATCACTGTTTTGGCGTCTCCGGCGATCCCCAAGTGAGGTTTCCTCAGCTCAATCTCTTCCTCTGAGATATCCACCAATATAAATTTCACTTCTTTAGACCATTTCGGCGACTCTCCGAAGTGGAGAAGCCAGTTAAGTCTAGCTCCAACCACCAGAGCTACATCGCATTTCCCAATGGCAAGCGACCTCGCCGCCGTCGCCGAGAGCTCGTGTGTGTCCGGCAACAAACCTTTACCCATCGGAGTTGGTAGAAAGGGTATTCCGGTAAGTTCCACCAGTTTCTTCAGCTCATCCTCTGCTCTCGAATACGCCGCTCCTTTACCAAACACGATCAGTGGCCTCTCCGCTTTTCTCAGCAGCGAAACCGCCGATTCGATCTCCGATCTCAGCGAAGCACGGATCGGTTCGTGTTTACGAGAATTTTCGATTTCAGCCACCAGATTCTCCGCCTCGGATTCCGAAATCTTCTGGCGCAATACATCAGACGGGACATCTAGATAACACCCGCCGGGTCGACCCGCGACGGCTCGATCCAGAACCCTAGCGACACAATTGGGGATTTCGCGAACATCTTTCGCTTTCTCCGATAATTTCGAGAAAGATTTCACCGCCTCGACCTGATCAAGCTCCTGGAAATCTCCACGACCGGCGTCTCTCTGATCGCAGGAACCGGAGATCATCACCATCGGCCATGTGTTAGCCCAAGCGTTGGAGAGACCCGCGAGTCCGTGCACGCAACCCGGACCCGAAACCGTGAGGAGGATTCCGGGTCGACCCGTGAGGTAACCGTAGGCGGAGG